GGCCTAGCACACTGTGGACAGTGCCATCCCTGGACAGGTAGTCCTGGGTTACGTAATAATGAATGCAAACTGAGAAAGCCATGGAGAGCAATCTATTAAGGACCATTCCTCCATGGCCTCTGTCCCAGTTCCTGCCTCTACCTTGAGGTTCAGTCCTGGCTTCCTTCAATGCTGGACTGTAAAATGGAGACCAAATAGAGCTTTTCCTCTCGCAGCTTCTTTTGGTTATTACAGTTATCACATCCATAGAAATGAAACCAGGACAAATCCCCAAACAAACTAACTTGCCTACTGCGCAACAACTTTTAAGACTCGGCTATAAAAATCGATAATGTTGCAAATTTAGGAATATTTTTGAGTAAAAAGATATTAATGATGTCAATAGTAACCTGTCAGGTGATGCATGTAGCTGATTTCTAGCCCTTGCTGTGGTTTTTGAAGAGACATACATGCAGGACAACCTCTGAAGAGACATACATGCAGGACAACCTCTGATGTAGTAGGAAGTCCACAAGTGACTTCCCTTGAATGATCTTAGTGACCATTGGACTCTGCATGTGTTCCTCTACGGTCGAGGCCAGCAGATCTAGGAGAGAAGAGAGCCAAAGCTCAGCCCGTCATAAACCCTGCCAGCAGAGTTGCGTTAAATGTTGTTAAAATGTTATGATTTATACAGTTAATTTAAACATCTAACTTTACTAATATACACATTCTGGAATATGTGCTTTTATAGGTAATTTGATGATAGCGCATTGATCATAGAACTATAATTAAGCTATTAGTAAAACATTTAATCTCAATAATAATTACGATTTGTGTGGTAGTTTGAAAGAGAGTAGTCCAGTTCTAACAGTGTGGCCTCTGGTCAGTAGCCTCAGTATTGCGGAGGACTTGTCACGGAGGCAGCGAGTTCTTGGGGTTTACAGCTGATGGTATATTGAGCCTTGAAAAGTTGAGACCCCCCAGTTTAAACTTTAAGAGGTTTGTGTGTGTGTGTGTGTGTGTGTGTGTGTGTGTGTGTGTGTGTGTGTGTTTTCTCCTGTGGACATGCTAGTAAAATTTAATGAGAAGTTGTGCTTATACAACTCACAACGAGATCTAGTGTCAACAAATGATGCATTATCTCTTTTTAATATCAACAGGTGACACTTGGACAGAAACACTGGCGTATGTCCTCTTCTGGGGAGTTGCAAGCATTGGAACATTTTTTATTATTCTTTACAATGGCAAAGATTTTGTTGATGCTCCTAGGTTGGTCCAGAAAGAAAAGATAGACTGAATTTGTATTTGTGGAAAGCGGCTTGGTTTGGAAGACTCCATGATGCAGAACTGGAGTCTTTACTGACCTGCTTTCCACATGAGTCCCAAGGTCTTCTTTACCCAGAAGCCTTTACCCAGGAGCACCTCTTGTGGTCTGGCTAGGCGATGTCTTAGGGTTGTCGCTAGTACTGCTTTGATCTCTTTACTGTTGGGATGGTTATGTTTATAATTTATAGCTATACTGTAATTAAAATGTAGCTTAAATTCAGCTCACCGATCAGAAGAAATCTATTCACTGTCAAGTTAATCGGAAGTTCACAGATAAGTAATATATTTTAAAATTTTAACTTCTTTCATTATTTAAGACAGTAAAATTATTTTTCTAGCTCTGTTTCATTATTGTCATTATAAAGCAGCCACTGTCAGCAAGCATATTTTCCATATATCTTTGGACTTTTCCTATCTTTATAGGATGTCTCTTACAGGTATCAGGTAGTTTGATAAGTTACAGTTTCACAGGAATGAAGAGGAGAATGAAATCTAGTGTTGTTCACAGCTTCTAGCTGCCTTTTGGCTTCAGCCAGCTTGAGCTGCTTAAATGTCATAAAAAGTTCAGATATATGTTATCTTTTTTAAAAGGTGTAAATGAAATCAAAGAATGTAAAGTCTGTCTCTTATGCTAAAGGTCCAAAGTTGCCTCTTTTTAAGAATTACTCCATTGTGGAAAAAGTACAGTCTACTGGCCGGCTGCTTCCTCCCACATCTTGCGGGACTCTTTCTCTCTCCCTCTTTCCCATGGTTACTCATTGAGACATGCAGGCCTCATAGAGGGTCTTGTGCTAGATTTGATTCACACTTGGAGTAGCAACTGCTCTTCTATGCATGGTATTCTTGCTTTCTCACTTTGTCAAGGTTTTTGTTGGCAGTCAATAAGTGTCTGAAATTTAGTGCTTCTAGGTAGCCATAGTTCTCCAAATCAAGGACCAACTTTAATTTATGCATAAAACAGACTGAAAACTGCGCTTCAGAAGTGTGCATAGTTGTAAGACAGGTTATATATTAAAATTGTAATTATGAAGTTTAGATACTAGAACAGTATATAAGGTAGTATCATTGCACTATCAAACAATTCAGTTAAACACTGCTATGGTACATCAGTGTTTTGCTTGAAACTATGTAGTTTTTTTTTTTTTTTTTTCTAATAGAGGTACCTTATGTTGTCCTTAAATATTTCTAAAAGCGCCTTTATTTTAACATTACCTTTTTTTCAACATTATCTTTTATAAATGATAAAAGTTATTGCTTTTAGAAACTCTGGGGAAATCCCCTGTAGCTTAAAATCAGACGTTAAGACGTTAAAACTTCCCGTAGGGTAAATAGAGCCACCTATTCTGACATGTAAATAAGCATAATTTGTTCCAAAGATGGAATATTGAAGCCCAGCCCATGTCTACTATAGTGTATTATTCAAATGCTACTGGGCATCTCACAGTAAGTACTTCATGTCAGCAGCTACAGCCAACACCAAATCTGAACCGCTAATGTGGCTACTTTGCAAGGACTAATTGTCAGTGGGTTAGGCTGCAAGTGATCAATGTTTCAAAGCCCTGCAGTGATATTGTTTAAATTCATGTACTGTACATCCATATGCAAAAATAAAATGCCATATTTTCTAACGATTTGTTGGTGTTATTTCTGTAGTTTTTAATCAGGTTTTGTTTTGTTTTTTAATCTCAAAGCAATGCTAGATCATTATAGAAATACTGGTCATTAAGTAAACAACAAAAATACCTTCTAAACTGTTTTCCAGTGATGATCACCTAAGACCGTTATTATTTTCTATGGATAAAGCTAGGGCAACATTTGCTGAGTGTCTCTACTGCCAAATTATAATTTATTTCAAAGTAATATAGGTTGCAGGATGATAAGGAAGTATGGATAAGTAAGTGATACAGGTTGCAAATGATAATGGTAAAATGGTGTATATTGGAAAGAATTTTTAGAACTGGGCATGTAGCTCTGTTGGTAGAGCATGAAACCCTGGGTACGATTCCCAGCACTCTACACACCTGTAATGGTGGCCATTCCTATAATCTCAGGAGGTCATCCTCAGCTGCATAGTGAGTTTGAAGCCTGCATGCGATAGATACATAATTATGTCTAAGGAAAAAAAAGTTTTCAGGCCATAGAAAGGTGTCAGTGAGTCTAAGGAAAATACTGTGTGTGTTGTGTGTGCCTTACATATGTACAGACAGATCTGTGATAAGAACTGTTAGAAACATTGGTTTAAATAAAGTTAATAAAGAAAATGTTGTCTAAACTGTAGGCCTTTCAGAGGTTTGAAAAGTGGCTGCTAGAGAGGGTATATACTGTACAGCAGCATCACGTTTTCTAGCCAGTGCAGTCTTCCTCATTGAACATCACATGATTTTCCTGTGGAATTCATTTTGGACAAGGCACTAGGGCTTGTGATTTGCAACTCCAAGGCCAATCTGTTTAATTCTCAATTGAGAGTTGAACTAGTGCACATGCTTGCTCGAAGAATTCCAGCTGGATGCAGGCAGCACAAGTAACTAAAAGGTTTAATTCCTTCAGGCATTTTCATTTATCACCTCCTTATGGGTCATGCCAGTAAGGAGGACAGTGTGCAATTTGGTCTCCTGAGAAGACTAAGTTAAATTGAAGGTTACAAAGTGCCAGTCTTCTAAGACTTATAGAATGACTCAGTTATTACCTTCAAGACTTACTGTGAAAGCTGGAAAGAAGTCTGCACATGACCCTCAGGCCTGGCGCACTGAGAAATAGTTATCATATTTTGAGGGTTATAACTTAGTATTCAGAAATGTACAGTACATTAGAACAGTACTGCATGATCTCAGTTTGTTTTTGTTAAGAGTAAAATCAGATGTAGTTATTTTAAAACAAATCTTGGTATGGTTTTATTGTGTAATATATTGCACTCTAGGTTTTCATCCTATACTTCTGTTTCATATTTTTTATCTATAATTCATTACTTTCCCCCTCCTCTACCAGCAAAGAGCAAGAATCAAGTCACATATAAAGGGATATCCATAGACTAAATAAATGGATTTATCAGTACCTTCAAGCTGCTGAAAGAAACCTGCTGGTTAAGAATACCAAATCCAAAGTTATACTTCAGTGATGAAGAAAAACACTTTCCTAGACGAGAAAAAGCAGAAGGAAACAGAGAAAGGTCATGTACGGTAGCCCATGCCTATAATCCAGGCACTGGCCGGGGGGAAGTGTGGGAGACTCGTTCCTCCCCACCCATTCACGCTTCACTAAGGATAAGTACTGCTATAAGAAGTGTATGCTTGGCCTGGAGACACATGGCCTTTTGTGATAGCCTGGGGAGGCTGTGTCTGGAGGATCATAGATTTTAAGATGCACAGGTGCAGACCCAACCTGGGATGCATAGAGGTAACTTTGTAATCCAGAATCCCAGTTCTGTAATGGTGGTGTGTAAAGTAAACATTTGATATCTCTGGAACGAACGCTAATGGTCAAAATGATGAAAAATTATATCTACTCTGAGTTGAGTATGTAATACCAAAGTATTTATGGCCAAGGTTAGATTTCTGCCAACCTATGATAACAGAGAATTAAATTGTCTTTGCAGATTCAGGAATCAGAACGTTCTTTTGGCTTTGAAAAGCAACTGAGGAGCTTCTACTGTAGGAAGTGGCTGTGAAACCATAGGTCTACGACAGGTCCACTTCTCAGGCCGTAGGAAACTTTGCTCTGCTCGTGCAGTGGCGTGTGACAAAAGTCACCAGGGCTACCAGAGGGATACACATGGTAGAGGAGGCTACCAGAATCCCAATGACAGCTAGCGCATGTGTGGGGTAATCCTTGGTCACCACGTGGCCCTGTAAGACACAGGAGAAACCTTGACTAGTCACTCCGGCCTCCATTCCAAAAAGAAAGAAAGGATAAGAGTTGGTGTTTAGCAAACATGAAATAATTTCCCCCACAGACTCAGATGCCTACCTTCTCTGGCTGTGTAGTCTTACTTTGAAAGGTTCTAGCGACTTTAGGAAGCAGCTAGCTGAGGAAGGGCATAAGCATTATTGGGGCTGTTGAGGCTGAGGCCCACTGTCTGTGGCCATCGGGGAGTGAAGAAAACCTCTACCTCACACTCTTGTTGCCGTGATACTCTGCCCAAGCCAATAAAGTGGCACCTCTGAAACTATGACCCCAAGTCTATTCCCCTCCGAATGGTTGGCAGAAGTTTGGTCAGTGTTATAGTAAAAGTAACGAGGCAGGGATGGGCCTGTGTACCAGCATTTGATGTCACAGCAAGCCTGCACCGAAGCCACTGCCAGCGAGCATGGACCATTTCAACATGTAAAGCTCCTGTGAAGGAAGAGCCAGCACCGTAGCAGGGGAAAGGTCCACTGCGATGCCTCGTGGTTAAAAACTCACAGCCCAGGTCAGCTGTGCTAGATTGAGCATCTGTGAAATACTCGATGAAGTTCCCATGCTGTCACATGGAGCCTTCTCACAGCACAGCAAGAGTCCCCTGTGTTCTGAGTGACTGTGTGGGCTCTGCCTTATTCCCCGGCCCTGCAAGAACATCAGGTACCTGAGTGGCATCCCAGGCTTGGTACTGCAGTGTCCCTGTGAGGATGTAGTCACTCAGGTAGAAGACAAAGAGGCTGACGATGAGCACTGGACTCACAAACGCCCACATGGCCTTCCAGTACCAGTTGAGGGTGCAGCCAGTCATGGCCTGAAGGTCACTTTCAAATCTGTTGGGACCACAGAGAGGTTTATTCGTGCTCTGGAGGGAGGGATCCAGTTTGCATACCCTCTGCCCTTGGGAAGATGCTGTTCTGGTTACTGATGTTTGAATGTGACCCCAACCCATCTGATCCTCTGTGGGGGAGCAGTTGAGGTAAGGGAAAAGGGCTGAGGCTGCCTGAGGAAGGATGACCAATGAAGAACGGGTCATGAGACATCTCCCCGGTGTTGGCCTTCAGAGGTCCCAGGTGTGGACCAGAGGCTAGTTCCCAGAGGTGGGGGAGGGGGTGCCAGAACACAGAACACAGGGCTAGGGTGAGATTCCCTCTGCCCACCCACTCTGTCCCTCAGTGATGGTTCCGAGTATTCTCCACCGCCTCCTAGAGATGGTCTCAGAACAGTCACTCTGTGCTTGGCACAGAGACCAAGAAGATCGGAGCAAGAATTGGGGGCCTGGGCTCTGGGAATCCAGTTGAAGAGAGGGTGGAGGGTCTATATGAGCAAGGGTAGGTCAGATCATAATGGGGAAACCCACAGTGCCTAAGCTTATGCGCATGCAGGGACTCTGGACGGACAGTTAGGGAGCCGGCATGGAACCAACGTAGGCCCTCTGCATCTGGATGACACTTGTGTGGGGGCCCTAGCAGTGGGACCAGGACCTGTCCCTGATGCATGAGCTGGCTCTTTGGAACATGTTCCCTGTGGTGGGATGCCTCGTTCAGCCTCGATGGGGTGTGGAGCTTGTTCCTGCCTCAACTCCATATGCCTTGCTGTTGGTTCCCACAGAGAGGCTGGACTCTTTCTGAATGGAGGCTGAGGAGGAGTGGATGGGGGAGGGGTACTAAACGGGAGGGGAAACTGGTCAGTCTGTAAAATTTCAAAGAATGAAAAGGAAAAAAAGAGAGAGAGAGAAACCACTGAGAGCCTGGGGTTTGGAAGGGCTCTTCCTTCCCGCCTTGCAGGAGTAAGAAAAGCAAGGTCCTACCTAGATTAAGTGTTCTTGGCAGGTCCTCAGAACACCAAGGAAATATCAATTTATACTTTGTCCCAGACCTTGGCAGGTACCCAATGGAGGCAGTCCTGCAACCCTCATTCATTGGCCTCAGTGTGAAAGCTGCTCCCCACCACATTCTGGCCTCACATCTGACTGCTGCACAGGGAACTGGATTTGACCAGGGTTCTTGGAAACCCTAATGCTGGTGGATGTCCAGAGTATCTATGCCTGGAGGCTGAGTCCTTGAGCAGATAAGACATAGAAGAGAGGACGTGGAAATAAGTGGTTGGATACAGGCAAACGGAGGAAGCAAGAGGTCACTGAAATCTGAGAGCCAAGCATCTAGAAGGAATGTACCTATGGTTTTCTTAATATAACACTACAGCTTCTCTGCCCCCTGTAGAACAGGATCTGGGGTCTCCTTACCTCTTTAGCCCATACACGTAGCACACAGCTATGGTCTCCACCAGCACGATGAGCAGCAGGGACAGCGTGGCCGCATAGTCATTGAAGATGTCAAACCAGTAGTTCCCAGCCTCCATGGTGAACACCATGCCGATGGCACAGCTGATGAGGCACACCAGACCTACGGCACAAGACTACTGTTGATCTGTCTCTTATATTCCCACAGGAGCCACAGTTCCCGAGGTGTGCTTGGGAGGGTAGGTTTACCCACATGAACTGTAGGAACTGCTCTTCAGGGAATGTCAGTTCAGGGGAAAAAGCAGTTGGGGGCATTGCCTATATCTGGGCTGCAGAGCCCCAGTCTCAGGGAGGATGCCAAGTGCTGAGTAAAGAGGTGGGTGGTGAGGACATGAAGACTAGTTGGAGCCTTGTTTTACCCATCCTGGATATGGAGTTACGGAATTATCAGAGGTGGTAAGTGGCTGGCAACTGAGTCCTCGTGACCCCTGCTTGGGTAGAATGGTAGTGAAGTTAAGTAGACACAGGAAAAGCTAGTTCCTTTGCTAACTGCCTAGCAGTTGAAATGCATGGAGAAAGTGGGTATGTGACCTTACAGTGTTGTGTCGGACAGGATCAGGGACAGACAACTGCTGCTAACAGCGGCATAGTGCACCTCACTGACAGGTTTTGAGTGCCAACAGCAGGCTCAGATTATCCTTTCCAGCGACTTTCAGAACACAGGCTAAAACTAGTAGCATTAGAAATCAGAACAAGGTGATCTGGTTGTGTGCTCATTTCCTGGGAGCTCCTTCTGCTGTGGGAACAGGTCATATGCTCGCCTTAGGAAATGGACATTTATCCTTTGATTAAGACAAAAATCTATGTAGGTTCTCAAAGCCTGGAGACCGTTGAGTGCAGGCTGGGTAGACGTCACCTTTTCCCAAGGGTAGGCTGACTGCGTTTCCCTGGGATGTGTTGAGTTCTTAGCCTAGCTCTGGAGCTGAGTATCACCCTGTAGCAGGAGCACAGCTACACCCCTGCAGCCCTTCTGGAGTTGTCTGAGAAGCACATGGCCCTAATTAGACCCGATTGTCTTGCATTTCGCCCCCCACCCATGCCCCGCCTCCACTGCCTGGTGTCCCGACCTGAAATGGCCTCCTTGGGCAGGTAGCTGGAGATGACCTTGCTGTCCGTCAGAGGGGTGAGGATGGCCGTTCCTGTCCCTACCATGCTCCCCATACCCAGCGTCAGCAGCATGAGGAAGTAGAGAACTGACCACAGCTGGGACACATCCATGTTTTTAATGGCCTCAGTGTAGACGATGAAGGCCAGGCCCGTGCCCTGGACAGCCTGCGGGTGACAAAATGATACTAGTTACCAGTCTTTTTAATATGGTAAATGTTGGGACTTTGAAGCTGGCCAGTGTTTCCTTCAGCCCAGGTCCCAAAGCTCACCCGGACTGATTAGAACATACATAAAATGTGATGAACCTTTCTGTCGGTACAGAGCCCTGCATTCTTCTTCCTGCCCAAGCTTACATTTTAGATAAAAATAATGCAAAAATCAAAATAATTTTTGGATCTTTGTTTCCAGGACTGAGGAAATGTGGTAGGCATCCACATGCCTGTGTTGATGACCTGCTGTGGAAGCTGAGCCTACTGTTTTGTTTTTTAATTACTTTATCTTTTATGTATGAGCACTCTGCATGCATACCTGCATGCCAGAAGAGGGCATCAGATTATATTATAGATAGTTGTGAGCCACCATGCGGCTGCTGGGAATTGAACTCGGAACCTCTGAGCCATCTCTCCAGGCCCAAGCCTTGTAGTCAAATCCCTTTCGACACCAGTAAGGAGTTCCTGATGGGTGAGTTTAGCTAACCGCAGGACTGCTAGAAATTAAGCCACAGGAAGGTAAAGTCTCCATGAGAAAGAATGACAAGCATCTAGAACATCACTCTTCAAGGATGGCATATGTTTGTCAGATTCAGAAGTGCTATGATGGTTTTCCCGTTGGTTTTGAAGTTCTAAGACAGGTATCTCCTCCGTGAAACAGTTCTGGCTGTCCTGGATCTCACTAGGTAGATCAGGCTGGCCTCCAACTCAGAGATAAACCTGCCTCTCCCTCCCAAGTGCCCGGATTAAAGGCATGGGCCACCACTGGACAGTTCTATACTCAAAGTGACTGCATACAGACCAGGTCTTTATGGGGGTCACTAAAGTACAGTGAGGCTTAAAGGGTGGCATCCTAGTCTGCTAAGACGACAGACAGTGATATCACTGATCCTGGAAGCAAACAAATCAGTATGAGAATAAGTATCTGTTGGTGTAGCCACCCAGTCTCTGATGTTTTGCTATGGTAACCTGATTGACTAATATACAGATCCGCTTAATGGCATACCAATGGTGCTGATTACAAGTTTTAAATAATAAAATAGATTAAAAGCTGATTATGTGTGTTATTCTTACTACTATTGCGGAGTTTTTGAAAGGGAGGTGTAACACGAAAAATAAAAACCTAAAGTTTATACACTGCCCACTCATCTAGGGGCAGTGCAAGACTCTGTAGGTCCATCTGTGGCTGCAGGTTTGTTACTAACCTCGACTCTTAGTTATTAGCTGGTCTTGCTGCCTTAAGAGTTTGCAGGTGTGTCAAGGACTGTTAATTAGACCGAGCTGTTTTCTCACATTTGTATGGCCAACTTGTAGCTGTTCCTGGGCAGATAGTTAACTATCACAGCAACTAGGTGGAATCTTGTTAGGAAAAGCAAATCTATTTACACTTGCAATTTAGTTATAATTAGCTTCATTAGATGCAAGAATACATAAAAGAACTATAATGTGTTACCTGTGTCCCTCAAGGACTTTGGAAGTGACAGCCTACCTGATGTCACTCAGATCCCTACCCCTTTTATCTGTGGGTCTCATGCCCACCCATAAGCTTTCTTATTCATCTTAGTGTTCCTCATTCTAACTACCCCAGTATGAATATGTTTTGTTTGCTCTGTTTTACGCAAACTCCTGCATGAGTTACTTTTCTTATCAGTGTGAACAAGATCACCACCAAAACAACTGAAGGGAGGAAGATATACTTTGCCTCCCAGATTAGAAGGGTTCACAGTCCCTGGTTGCTTGGGCCCAACTCTCTTGGGCAGGACATGTTTTTGGAGCATTTGCTCTGTTTCCTGTCATCAAATGAGACGGAAGAAATACAGAATGGAAGAGAATGGGCCCAGGGTCTCATATTTGAAGGTGCCCCATAAGGAGTATGGTTTTTCTCCTGCCGCCTAGTCCTGTCCCTCCCCCGGGCCAGCCCTAATTAACACACAGAGAATCTGTATTTGACTTGTTTCTTATCAGCTAGCCCTGTCTTAAGTATTAACCCATTTCTATGTATTTCCATGTGGTCTTACCAGCCAGAGGCAGCTGGCGGTTCTGCCTTCTCCTGACTCTCCATCTTGCCTCCTCCTATCTACTTCCTCTTTCCTCCTTCTCTACTAGTCCCTCCTATCTTCCTTTCCTATTGGCCAACAGTGCATGATTCAGTAACCAATTTGAGAAACATATTTACAGAATTGCATCTCCCATCATCTCCTCTTTTCTGTCTAAATAAAAAGAAGGGTTTTAACCTTAAAGAGCAAAATATATACCACAACAGTTTTCAAATAAGAATCACAGTTAACAATATGTAGTCCTTTAACATTTAGCAAGATTAAAAGAAAATGTTCTATAATCTTTCCTAGATTAGTGAGTCTAAAGTCCTATATGTAACTTATCATTAAGCCTAACTAAGGAAATCTATAACCAGGACTACCTGTATTCAACTACTGCGGCCCCGGCCCCCCTGCCCCCCGGCTCCCTTTTAATCTCTCTGAGTGGCCTCATTTGGAACTCCTCCTGTCTCAACCAACTGCAGGATCATGGGAATACAATTCAATGAGGGCCATGAATGGACATCGACACACAAACACACACCCACACACATACACAGGTATGTACGTGCACACAGGCGTGAATGCACGCGCGTGCGCACACACACACACACCTCCAAATGACAGGTTTGTAGCTTTTATTTGTGCTGTGATTCTGACTGTGTATGTTACCTTATCCTTTGCCTTTTCCATATTTTGAAAATTTCAAAAAGAGGCAGGGAAATGAAAAGAATTCCTGTAGGACCTGGGAGAGAGCAGGAGTCCAGTGTCTGTCACTGCTGCAGGGGAAACAATCCAGTTCCCAGTCTTCATGGACTGCCGCCACACCAGTGGAGACAGTGTAGCAATGGCTGAGAGAAATCTCAATGGCTACCTGTCCAGAGGTTCACACCACACGTGGTTACGCCTCCTGGGGAAAAGTGGTTCAGGACCCTGCAGGTGATTGCCCAACTGACAGTCTGGAATGGGTGGTACGTGTTTGTTGTGCTATGATAGCTTTAATGCTTTTGATCATGGGTGCTTTGGCCTGTAGCTCACTGTTAATTCACAGAAGGCCAGAAAACACTTATAGTTTCAGGCACAGAAAGAGATACAGACCAGCCCTCAGCTACAAATCCCACGGCGCCAGTGGAGACTTCAGGTGTCAGCCCAAGGCCTAATAAATTAACATACCTAAAGCTATAGGAATTTGCCCACAAGATGACCCTGCCTAATTAGCCCGCCCACAGTAAAGCTGGTGTGGGATTTACCACTGAGTTTTTAGGACCCAATCAATAAAACAGTACAAGAGTTCTTCTCAATGCTGTTAAAAGTTTACTGACCAGAGACAATGATTATTCTCTTAACTCAGTAAATCGAATCCCTGGTAAGTTGACCACAAGCAGGCAAAAATAAACATGAGATGTATTTATGATCTCATGCTCCAAAATAATTGCTGACATTTCTGTAGTATGTCTGTAAATTTTAAACTGTGGCCAAAGATCTGTTCCTTGAACTTTCTGCATAAAAACCCAATGCTCTGATGTAAAAATCGCAGCAGTTAGAAACCTCCTTGAGTGTGTTTGTGTCTGTCTGTCAAGGCGAAGCCACTCCTGATCTGTTCATCCCAGTCTTGGTCTCCCCGCAGACCCGTCGCCCACTGAAAGGTCTGCGGCAGACCGTGTGGAGAGAGAGAGGCAATGCCCACCCTTTCCAGGCCTCTCACCGTGTTCAGCTCTGACTCCAAGCTGCAGTTGCTAATGTGTGGGAACACTTCACTGTACTTGCTTGGGTAGGTGGAGGCCAGGTAGTTCTTCACCTCCTCCAGGTTGATGGCTGTCAGGAAGCCATCTTCTAGGTCAAAAGAATTTGTCAGCAGCAGAATCACCCTGCAGAGCAGAACATCGTCTTGACATTTACCACTAAAAGGCAATTCTGATAATCTGGATGAGTAGAGGAACTCTGGATTAAGCAGAGCTGAGGACAAGAACCCTGACCCTACAGTGAGGCTGTTGAAGATCTGTGCCAATGATACCTGATGAACTGTATAGGGTGGCAGAAATTTACATTGTGCTTAAATATGCCTTGTGCCGCTGAGTAACCCATTAACCTTAGAGTCGCTTAAATTTAAATTCTTATCAATATACAAGTTATTTGAACATACATTAATTTCAGTCCTACTTTAGAGATGGCTACTCATGTAAGTGGCCTCCCTACTGGACATATTAGCATCGGCCAAAGACCTCAATACTGGTGTCTTTAGTCTACTCCTTGACCTCTGGGAACCCAGTCCTTCCCAGTCTCCCTTCCAGCTCGGAGCTTTGGAGCCTTGCCTTCCCACTTGGGGTCCAAGGTTCTGAGGGACAGCTTAGACTCACTTGTTTAAGCAGTTTTCATAGTTGAACGTGGCCTTGAAGCCATAGATGGAGAAGGTCACGATGCTGGAAAATATGGCAGTGGTACTGTTGATGATGGACACAATGATGGCATGCTTCTGGCAGTTGTTGGAGGGGTCATTGTAGCTAGCAAAGGCAATCAGGCCACCACACCCCAAGCCCAGTGAGAAGAAGATCTGCGTGGCTGCATTGATCCAGGCCTTGGGGTTGGCTAGTTCCTCAATCTAGAAGGCCAATATGGATAGGGCTGAGCAACCCCAGGTTCCAAGACTCCCCCTCCCAGGAGAAGTAGGCCCAGAGAGGGGGGCAACTACCTCTCTACTTCTCCAGCTGTCCAGACCTGGCCTAGGCGCAGTATATTTCTGCAGGTGGACTGTACCACTAAACCTCATTGAAGTTACCCAAGTTTCCCAAGGACATGTAAGAGCACTGCTAAACATCGTCCAAGCACTATTAATGAATGTTTAATTCACTGTTAATATTAGTGTGAAGCTTTTTATCACAGGTGCTTCTTAATTGTTTACTATTTGCTTAAATAAACTAATATTGTAAGAGCCAGGAATGAGCCAGGCATTGGTAGCGCACACCTTTAATCCTAACATTTGGGAGGCAGAGGCAGGCGGATCTCCGAGTTTGAGGCCAGCCTGGTCTACAAGAACAAGTTCCAGGACAGGCTCCAAAGCAATAGAGAAACCCCATCTTGAAAATCCGAGAGAGAGAGAGAGAGAGAGAGAGAGAGAGAGAGAGAGAGCGCCAGGAGTGACTTAATCCCTGAATTTAAAGATACTAGGCCATTCCCAGACGTCTTAAAGACAGCAAAGGCTATGAAGAGCTGAAGGCTACAAAATGCCTGTTGCTGGATAAATTCCAACAAACAAACACCTCACAAAACTAGAGGCAGTGGGTTTAAGACGCCCCAGTCCCGAGAGCTGTCACACTAAGGGAGTCATGGAAGGGCTCTCTAGACATCTATCTCCAGGCACACAATTTGCTAAATGAATAATGTGTCCTGTTTCCCATTGAAGAACTTCGGCCTGGAGTGAGAAGGATAAGGAAGGGATCATTGCAACCCGGATGGTAAGGAAAATGGGTACACATGAGGGAAATGACTGGAGTGGCATCTGTGGTCATCAGCTCAGCAGAGTGGGAGAGAGCTGAAGCAGGAAGGGCAGAAGGGAGGAACTGGTATCAGTCATTAGGGATAGTGAGAGTATAGGAGGGAATGAACAGTGCACAGAGAATCACCTATCTGAGGACGGGTCCATGTCCATAAGGCATGCACAGCCCTTGGCCCAGCCTTGAGCTCACACCATCCTCTTTGTTACTTACAGCTTTTTCTTCCTTGTACATGATTGCCCCACCCCCACCCCAGCCCAGCCAACCAAAAGGGAACAAAGTGGGTAGCAGCACCCTCAGGACTTCTTCCCATACCTTGGGAGTGAACAGGTATACCAGGCCATTGGTGGCTCCGTGGAGTGTGAGACCCCGAATCAGGTAGATGATGAGCACAAAGTAGGGCATCGATGCAGTGAAATAGACCACCTGTGGGAACCCACGAGTGGAGTCAGCCTCAGCTTCTAAGAAATAGCTTTGCCAACAGCCGTGCAAAAAGTCCACTCAAAACTATCAGTTTATCTTCATTGAAATGGATACAATGTTTGTACACAGTGTTTAATTTAAAATATGTGAAATTGACTCAATAATATAAGTGCTGTGGGATCTTAAAAATTGAGAGTAAAAGAAAACCCCATTCAAGGGAAGATCTTTATGGAGCCTGATGCTGCCCCATTCAGAAGAGCACATATGACTTGGAAACAGAGCACACGGAACCTGCTCACATCAACCCAGAAGATGGCACAATCTTTGGGTCAAATGTCTTAGGAGTTTGCCCACAGCTGGTAACATCTGGAAAAAGCACTAAAATTCTTTTACAGGGTCTGAAGGTTTTCGAGATAAAAATGTGGTCATTTCTAATCAATTCTAATATAAAAGTAAATAAGGCCAGGAGGCTACGAAGAGGGGTTCTTATATATGACTGCTTGATTGCCACTGTCACCAAGCATACAGAAACAAAAAGACCACCGGAACTTGTCAAGAAGGTCCGCCTAAAACTGTGTTCAGTCTGGGACTGAGGCGTTCCTTGTTGTCAGTCCTTGTGCTCAAAGACATCTCAAAACATCTTGCATAGTCCTCGCTATATTTGCCTTTAAAATTTCTCCCTGGGCATCTGCTAATATATCCTGTCTACTATGGCGTCCATTTCTCCGTGGCTGTCTGTAAATACTGTAGTTTATTATGGCACCATTCTAGGTCATGGTGCATCACGGAAGAAAGCCGGATGATGAAGACCATGGGAGGCCAGATCCCAGATCTGCTCCAGGGTAGCCAAGAGAATGCCTCAGAGTGGCAGGGGGCTTAGGAAAGATTCTTTTCTGAGGGTTGCTAGACTTTTCTGTCTTAGGAGAAAGACATGCTTCCTGCTGGTAAGCTAAGAAAAAAGGCTGGTTAACGTCTCCTTACTCAAACTCTTTTTCTTGACAATCTCTCTTTACATACATGTATCTCTCTCCTGCTGTTACATAGTTTCATATTTAGTTACCTCTCTTTTCACATGGCTACACATCTCCCTTTGACATACATCTCTCTTCTACATCTCTTTTCTATACAGCTTCATCTTCCCTGCCCCCCACCAGTTACACCTCCCCACAGCCACAGCTAAGCAGCAGCTCTTACACAGCTCTCTCTTACGCACACTCACACACATTTCTACATCATTCGTTCATTCTTTACTCACTCTCACTCACTCTCTCACACTTCTCTCCCCCACAGCAACTTTCTCCCGGAGATCCCTACACAGCTTCCTCCTCTACGCTGTCACTGCCCCTATCTCTCTGGGCATCTTCCATGCTGCCCTCTGCTGCCTCTGCTGCTCTTCTTATGGCCAAACTCTGAACAATTATAAGTAACATTTTCAGGGGACAAACTCTGAACAATTATAAGTAACATTTTCAGGGCCCTACCCATTCTCAAAACACAAGATAAGTCACATTGTTTCTCTTAGGCTGGGACTGTCACAATGGCCAGCCAGTGAGCAACCATGACCTTGCACATAGCTCTAAGTTGGTGAGGGTTTCCCAGACAGTAAACAATTGGCTGAGCCTTGAGGATGGGGAGTACCACCAGACTAAAGTTCCTTCAAGCTCTGTCCTTGAATAAGTAAAACAACAACTAGGAAAACGACCTCATGTATTTGTCTCTAGAGCAACCAGGTGTTTGTCTCCAGGGGCAACCAGCCTGCTTTCAATCTCCTCTTATGTAAAAAAGAAAAAAGGCTGTCTTTGGACAGACTCCTTTGTCAGTTTGAGTAATGTAAAATATCCTTGTTTTATGTCTATTTATCGGAATTATTCAGCTTAAACATCATCTTCCTGACTATCCACAGCTATATGTGTGCCCAATAAGTGTAAAGCATACCACCAAAGGGCTGTGGAAAGAACCCCACAGCTGTTCCTATTAGGGAGCACTTGAGAAAACGACAGGAACAACCAGTTGTTCTGCCGAAAACCTCACAGCTTTGCCAAGTGGGGGCTCCCCAAGAAGTCAACTTGTGAGACACTAGTCACTGCTGTACATTCCCATGGCCTTTTGCAGTCAGGACAAGAAGGCAAGAAGGAATTTGAAGCAGAAGTTAATAAATACTTTCGCTGTTTTGTTCACAGGATCATGCTTAGCTACCTTTCTTCTACCGTGTGGGACCTCCTACACAGAGAATAGTACCACAGTGGGCTGGCCCCCTTAAATCAACTCATAAGGCAACCATCAGCTTATTGACATAACGTTATATAAATTAGAGATTTTGGACACTAGCATGTTTATAAAGTAATGATAAAATAATCAAGTGAATAAACTTGATTCAAAATGAACATAATAATAATGAAGGCAATCCTCTACAGACTTGCCCATAGGCCAATCTGCTCTTGGCCACCTCTTAACTATGACTCCCTTCTTAGGTGAGGTGAGTCTGGGCTATGTCAAGTTGACAGTTAAAGCTAACTATGGCAGGCACTTTCCTCTCCATGGCCGTCTGTGAATATTTGCAGAGCTCACTATGGCACCCCTCTGTCCATGTTCAAATCCACCCAGGCACAGTGGTATCATGCTCCCCGGCCTACCTTGCCAGTTGACTCAGTACCCCGCTGTATACACAGATAGACAATGAGCCAGGCCAGGGTGAGGCACAGTGCTGGCTCCCACTGCACTCCTCCATCCCCCTGGATGGATGGTGAGATGTTGAGTGTTTTCCTGTACCAGAAGTACTGCGTCGACGAAGCCTTTTCACACTCCTCATCATAGCCTGTGCGGTTACCATTCAGTGGGCAGACAGACCACGGCAGGGGATCCTTTGGAATGAAGTGAGAATCAACAGAGAGTCAAGGGGAAGGCCGAGGGCTTGGTGGGATGATGGGATATAGCCTTGGCAGAGAGGTCTTGGAAGAGAAGGAAGCTGGTCACCCAAGGGCAAATGGCTGCAGCCTTGAGGCTGACAAGGACTTGGGTCTTCAGGAAATATAGACGGCATGGAACATAACTGGATTGGTTTGAATGTTAAGGATTCCCCCAAAGATCCACACCTAGAGGCTGTGTTCCCTTGGGTGGGAAGATACTGTGGAATTTTAGGAGTGTGCTTTCCAAGTAGCTAAGGGGAAACCTGTCATTTACTTTCTATTCTGGTGTCATTGTGGATGTGTCCTCTTATATGTATTTAGGATATGACGTTCTGCTAAACTTCACCTTTACTAGAGGCTGAGTTGTGAATTAACAAATCTTTCCTCTTTGTGCCTAGGATGTTTTGATCCAGTAGAGCTGACTAATAAGATTTGTTTCTTATTGCTGAATATGGTCTTTGAGGATTACTGCATTCTTTTATGGGTCTAGAAGATTCTGCTACTACTGTCTAGATAGTGACCACACCAACTACAAGACAACACTGACCTAGCATCACTACAGCAACAAAATCAGGAGCTTAAACTCCAAGCCCTTGCACCACTGATGGATTGGTCAGAACCTGTTAATGATGGGAGCTGGAGAAATGGCTCAGCAGTTAAGAACACTGGCTGTCTTCTAGATGACCTAGGTTCAGTTCCTAGCACCCACATAATACGAATAACCATTTGTAACTCCAGTTCTAGGAGATCTGAAGCCCATTTTCTGACCTCTACAGGCACTGTACTAATGTATACACAGATAAACATGCAGAAAACACACCCACAGGCAAAAAAAAAATTGTTTTTGGTTTTTGATACAGTGTTTCTCTGTGTAGCTTTGGGACCTCTCCTGGAGCTACCTCTGTACACCAGGGTGGCCTGGAATTCACAGAAATCTGAATGCCTCTGCCTCCGAGTGCTGGGATTAAAGACATGTACCACCAACATCCAGCCAGACCCCCCCCAAAAAAAAATAACAAAAAACAAAAACAGAGTTGGCAATGACTCATGAATTTTCCTTTCTCCCTTCAACTTAGAACAAGTCAGAGAAAGCAACAGTTAAATGAGCTCACTTCCCACTTCCCCAAGCCAACTCATCATTAGGACACCCTTAAGAGTTTAGACAGATGTTTCATGCCATGGGTGTGGAAACAAGAAACAGGTGAAGTCCAGTGTCTTGAAGCTATTGCGGCCCTTGAGCCAGGGACGCTGGCACTAGTGACTTCCTTTGAGCAGTAAGTAGCAGCATCTCAGCTTGGCAGTTAAGACTCCTTGAACCCTGTAGGGTGGAGACAGTGAAACCCTCTTCTGCTTTCAGTGGTTGCAACTGGGTTCTTTGACACTTAAAAACAAATTAAATGATGTCTGTCAATGATCGTGACCCAAGGCCAACTGCTCAGAGAGATACTAAAGGGGACTGAGGGGAAGACATATAAACCTGATCAGAGCTGTGGGTGGTGTAAGAGGAAGCCTGCTCTAAGACAAGCACCTTGTTGCCCAGGTCTGGGTCCTATGAGGTCAGATTTATGAGAAAAAAAAAAGTTCCACTAATAGAAACAGTCTGGGCACCCTCTTGGCTTCATGGCCACATTCCACAGGACACAGCTCAGTGGGCCAGTGGCATTATCCAGTGGGCCAAGGCTACTCTACATAACACCAGGAGCCAGATCTGCACTCTAGGGAACTTATCCCATGAGACCCTGGCTCCCAGCAGGCCTCGATAGTGGATGTGACAGCCATCTTGCAGGTTCCCACAGACTACCAACTGTCCTCATCTCCTTTGTTTTAGAGCAGTTTCTCTCCCCTGAGTGTGGAACATCAAAAGCAGAAGTCCAGTGAATGTTCGGGTGTATGCCTCCCTCTCAGGCTCCCTCCAGTTATAATCCACAATCGTCTGCATTCCTCCCGGAGGGGAGGCCAGCCCCCTCTCCTCATTGTTGCTGGCTTCACTAGGCCTCTGCTCACCTGGAAGGAATTGAAGAGGTACCAGAGAGACCACGTGTTGATGACATTGTAATACACAGAGATCAAGAAGGAGACCACCAAGCTCGCAATGCCTGAATGGAATAAGAAGGTCATGCTGAGAACCAGGTGTGGTAGCCCAACCTATAAGCACCCCTAGGACCCCTAGACATGATTGGACCGCCCAGGACAGGAATACTTCCCCTCCATGTTTTTTTCTAACCATGACTTCATGTTTGTGACCCATTTCTGAGGGTTCTCCCCCCCCAACCTCTCATACATGTTTTAATATCTGAGTGCTAGGTCCCGGGATCCATGCTTGGCGTGTGTCTTAGTCAGTGTTCTATTGCTGCAAAGACATCCTGACCACAGCAACTCTTATAAAAGCAGGCATTTTAATAGTGCCCTGCTTACAGTTTCAGAGGTTTAGTCCATTATTGTCATAGAAAGAAGCAGGGTGGCACACACAAAAAGACGGACAGACACACAGACAGACAGACATGGTAGCTGAGCATTCTACTCTGGACCTGGAGGCAGCAGGAAGAGAGAGACACTGAGACAGGCTTAGGCTTCTGAAACTCCAAAGACCACCACCCCCAGTAACACACTTCTTCCAACAAGGCCACACCTTCTGATTCTTTCAAATAGTGCCCCTCCCTATGGCCCGATGGCTCCCTGTGGGGGCCATTTTCATTCAAACAGCCACATGTGTCTGACATTTCCATTTCACAGAAAAGTAAGGGGAAGACCACCCATCGGAACCAGGACATAAACCTCCTGAGAAATACATCACCCATGTGCCTGGTAGGATACTTATTCCCTTTAGACCAGGTCACTTGGGCCACACTGGCCACTCTGTTATCGGGGAGGGATGGAGGCTGGCAGAGGCATGAAGTGTGCAGGAGAGTCCCACTGCAGGGGGAGAGTGTAGCACCAAGTTGCTCTGGGGTGGTGTGACGTTGGCCTTTAGGAGCACTGTACCCAGGGACCGGTGGCCACGTCAGAGGAGCAGCAGGTGACACTTGAATTCAGGAGCTCAGCACCCAGAGTGCGAGGTACTGATGGGTGAAGCCCAGACAGGCAAGGCCCTGATGGCTTCGGCTGCAGAATGTCTCTAGCTGCCGTGCCTTTGCGTGCATTTCTCAGGTATGTGGCATGGTGTGGGATTATCTCATGGAAATATCCAGTTCTACTGGGCATTTTTGGTTGTGAGCCTAGCCTTTAACAGCTGAGCCATTCCTCCTGCACTCTACTGGGAGTAATAATCCTCTACTCTGGATTATTATGAAGATGATTTCCTCTTAATTTGTACCTTGTAATTGAAGCAATGATTTTATACAACAAACAGTGTTAGCTTAAACAGAATTGAAGATTAAGTGTTTTTTTTTAAACAAATATAGTAAGGGATTATGATAGATGCTTAGGAGGAAATTTAATATAGGTAAAGGTGGATATAGTGTTGTATCTTCCCCTGATAAAGCAGGGGCTACAGAGGGTGGGACAATAAGGACAAGGAAGGGTCCTGCAGCTAGGACTTAGGATTCCTCTTGAGGAGCCATATTGACTGTGGCTTAGGTCAATGGTTAACGAACACAATAGAGTCCCATAAGCTAGGCTAGCTCAACTTCTTTTAATCTTAATGTTGGGAGATGTGTTCATGGGTTTTGGTGTGCATCATAGCTAAAACAAAGCTTTAAGTCATGGCTTAAGGTTAGGATAAAGTATCTTTGTTAGTGACCTGGAGAATAATTTAAAGTTTAGAAAGGCACACTTTTGATAGTTGAATGAGGGACTCACTGAGGCCAGGAACAAAAGTGATGGCAGCCTAGCTATTACTGATTCACATACCTTTCTTGCTAGGAAGGATTGGTGATCAAAGGTGATGATTAATTCCTTATATCCATTTCTACCCTCAGCTTCCTGATATAGAAAACTGTTGGTGAATGCGTATGCACCCTGAGGACTGCAAAATGCAGCCTGCCAGTAAAAGAACTGTCTGAGAAAAATATCTTGCTTGCTTACACTCTTTTAAATCTAAAGCTGCTTGGACATGAATATATGTACATAAAATGTTTAATCATGTAAGGGATATGGAAAACGTGTTAGTTTTTACTTGTATTCACTGAAATCATTCACTTAAAGAATAGAATGTAACCACACTAAGTTTTATATTGCTTGAGAGATTCTGCTGGGGTATACAAGCTGTAAGGGGAAAAACACTAAGGCCACAGAAGGGATACATTTGAATAGAGGTAAGAAAGGAAATAAGGGACAGAGAGATTATAGGGACACCCTGAAGGTGTATGTGTGTGTTTCCCTTTTCCCCTGGCCCCAGAGTGTTAAACTTTGCTCCACTAGCCAGCCCTAGAGAACTGTTTTACCACCTCAGATAGGAAAGTCAAATTGAGTGGTTGGTCTGCCCATTCTGTAGCTCCTCTTCTGAAGGCTAGTCCCCACATCAGCTCTCAGGTCTGTTGTTAAGCTGAAGACCTTAGTCATGGTCGTAGTATAGTGGTATCGCCACCACCACAGGGAGACCTGGCCCTTAGGGATTCCGGTACGTTCTTTCCCATTATACAGAGCTGACCCTTCCTCGCTCCTGAACAATTGCTCTCCTTTCTGGGTTGGGGAGGCACCCACCATTGATGGGCCTGGATCCCGGGCTTTTACAGAGGAGGGGAACCATGTCTTGGAGATACCAGAGGATAGCAAATGGAGGTCACTTTGAAAAGCTATGATGGGACGCAAAGCCACCTAGTATGCATAGGCGCCTCGGCTTTCAAACTCTGGGAACATTTGTGATGCGCCAATGCCCCTAAGTGGTGCGGTGAAGATGAAATGACCTCACACGCGTGCATGCCATGTTCAGCACCAGAAACACATTAAGCAGGGGTGGACTTTGTGTATATCCCCAGAGGGCAGGTAGTTGGGACCAAATGAATGCTATGTCCAGCCAGTCAGAGACTCTCAAGCTGAGCTCCAGAGTGGAGATGCCCCAAGGTGGGAGTTTCCCTGGGGTGTGGTGGAGTGGGGTCCCATGTGAGGGTCAGAATCTAGGGCCCTCTCTGCCAAAGCTCCATGGTAGCCCTCTTGGGGGGTCGGTTCACCCAGTCATGCACACCGGCGATGCCCAGAAACCCACACGTCTCTGTCAGAGGAACCGAGAAGGGCCCCACATACCGACACCACTGAGGTAGGGGCTGATGGTCCTCCAGGCACCGATGCTGCCTTGCCGCATGCGCTGCCCCACAGCCAGCTCCAGGTACAAGAGCGGCATCCCCTCTACGATGAGCATGACGATGTAGGGGACCAGGAAACTCCCTGTGGGAGGCCAGAGCGGAGCATCAGGTCAGTGAGGAGAGATGAGATTCACGTCTCAGCAACCGTGCTTCCGTCACCCGCCTTTCCCCAACCAGCCTCTTCCGGCAGCCCTTCTACCCCCAGACCTTTCCGCTCAGGATCTATTCTTTCTGCCGTGGTTTCTTCTACCCCCTTGTCCATCCCGGAGTCACCCTCTCACCAACTGTCTTCTGCTCATCCTACCAATCCAGCTTTTCATCTGTTCACCCACCACGCCTCTCCTGCCAATGATTTATCTGTTCACATGTCCATGGATGACATACACCCATCTCAGTTTTTTTAAAATCTTTAAATACTTCCATCCTGGCCGGGAAACTGCCCCTGGCCCCGGCTCCTTGGGCATCATTCTCCACGGCTGTGCTGGCCCAGCTTCTGCCAGTAAAAGCTTCTACCCTCTTTTTAAAAAACGTGTTGGGGAGGTTGGGACGTCAGAGGGACAACTCCAGGAAGTTGGTTTTCTCCTTCTACCTGTGAGTGGGTTTTGGAGACTGAACTCAGGACACCAGGCTTGTGCGGTATCTTTATCTACTGGGTCATCGCATTAATCTCTATCTTCTCACTCAGCGCTTAAGGCTAGACCACCAGGTTACTAAATACTTTGAACTTCACTCCCAAGTGCTCCTGTCTGTCTTCCTACAGCTCCAGTGGCTTCTGTGCGATAAGGTGTCTGAAACAGGCATTTTCTAAGCTCTGGTCACACCTGGTCTATAGGTGGAGTAGAAAAGTCAGCCAACTTGCTTCCTGCCCAGGAGGCTTCACCTAGGATGACGCATTTTGGATGCTTTATAGTTGCCTGGACCATAGAATGTTCATCCCGGCCCAATATTTTCAGAGTGCTTAGTAGCTTATCAAATACGTGGGTGGGTAAACTAGTTGGACCCCTCAGTACACAAAGATTCATACCACATCCTCCTTTCAAAGAGATCTCTGTATGCCTGTTTTGAACAAGCACTTTCAGTGTAAAATTTCATTTTGGTACCAGTGACTTAAAAAGAAAAACCTTCAAATCCATAGATTCCTAAGGATCGGTCTGTGAATGGAGCTGTAAACATCCTGCCAGTGCTAGACGAAAGTACAGAGGTAGTCAGGAATATAAGGCTGCCCACCAAGTCTGTGGCATGGAGGCATGACCCAAGACTACTTTAGAATTTTCTCCTATTCACCCCATCTCATGGCTCCTTGGCTGGGACCTGGGAAACTGCCACAGGAAAAGGGCATACAAAAGCAAAAAGTCTGATGAGCAGTAGCAGGGATTGAGGGAGGCTTGTAGAGGGAACCGGCTCCTTGGCATTAAGGAAAACAAGCATAGGCATACACAAACCCTAATAGTCATAAAATACCTCCATGGTACACAGGGGCAGCCTGTGTAGCAGGGGTGTTGATGGTCATCTATGGGACCAAGCACTGAGCTTCCATGAAGACCCAACTGCAAAGGAAGGGAAAGTAACAGCTTTCACCCTTCAGATTGGATGGGGCCCTGAGACCAGCCGTCTTCTTGACTTGTGGGTTTTATAGGCCCCCCCCCCCCCGCGACCTCCCCTTTTCCCCTCTGGTCCTGTTTTGATGCCTGCCCTCATACCTTCCTGGCATTCCTCCCCACAATATTTTCTGTGAACAGGAATCTACCATTTTAGGAAGCCAGCTGTGACTTCATTTGTCTACCTGTGTTGCTCTAACACTCCAGCAGGACTCCCCCAGCCCCTCTCAGAGTCTGACGGGGAAGGGGGGTATGATGGCTCTGGTTGCTTCCTGTTGAGATGGGCAGAGTCTGGGCTTCAAGGGAGACTCTTGCAAGGCAGGCTTAGGGCCCCTCCACAGGGCTGCAGCCCCAGAGTTTCAGGAACATCCCGAGATCTTCCACTGACTGGGTCCATTCGGAGCTCCAGTCCCACCTTTCAAGAGACCTTATATTATTCCCATTGGTATGGCTAAACTTGATTGTCAAATTGATTACCTATGGAATCACCTAAAGCCCAAAGAACTGGGCCTAGCTGTGGGGACTTTTCCTGATTGGATCATTTGAGGAGGGAAGACCCACACTAAGTCAAGGTCACACCTTGTGGAAGTTTACATAAAAGGATATGGAAGGAGGAAGCTTGGTGCCAAGTTCTGATGAGGAGGCATTCCTTTGCTGCCATTAAGAACCTACTTCTGGCTCTAACAGATTCAAACACATAGCCTTGTGGACTGAACAACTACAGGCTTTTGGCTTTTTTTTTTTTCTTCTTCTTCTTCTTCTTGTTAGGAAATAGCCATTGCTAGAGTATCTGATTACACAAGACAGTCTTCATACAGTACATAGTGATCTACCATGAGTACTCTTTTGGTCTTTAATCACCATAAGTGCAATGGCTGAATTCCACCTCCAGAGCCAGTTTTTTTAGTGTGTTCAAACAGCACATGACAACTTACACAAAAGGCATTGCCCCCCTGTAAAACAGAAACCAGAGGCTTATGCTGGACAGATGTTCTGTTGGATCCAGCGACACCTGGCTGAACCCACAGTACCTGTTTTCCTTAAAACCAGTAGAGAACTATCCAGGTGAGTGTCATTGGGTCATGCAATGGGAACAGAGATTGAAAAGGGGTTCCTTTTAGAGACTGAAATTTTACAAAGCCATGGGTGAGTGGCAGTGAGGCCCCATAATAAAGGAGGAAGTTATCTGCCTTTCTGATGAGCTACCTGAGACCCTCTCCACCCTCTCCACCCACAATCACTTTGCATGTGCCTGCAAATGGAGGCAGATAACCTGGAAAACTCAATAGCTTCTGCTTTTCTTTAGCATCTGCCAAGAAGGCGGCTCTGTGAACATAGGTGGTCAGTGGAGTTCTCCCACAATGCCTGATCCAGCTCACTGAGGAGGCAGCTGAGTAGTTGACTAGAAGAACCTTGGAAATAGTTTGTCTCATTTACAATGAGATGGAAAAAAAAGAAGTCTTGGGTCAGGATTGCCCCTTTTCTGTCCACATTCCTATATCCATGTCGATGGACATCTCCAGCTTGTCAACAATCAGCAGCCAGGGTAGTCCCTGGAAGAGGCTGACCCAGGTCCCTGCCATCTCCCAGTTTTCCTTTTTAGTTTCTCTTACTGCAATATTGCTACCTTGTGCTTGGCCACAGGGAGTCAGGCTCAAGTCCTCTAAAGCTCCATTTGTACAAAAGACATTTAATGCCACCATTCCTCGAAACACTTGATTTGGCTGGAAGGTAGCAGAATCACAGCCAGGTGGATCTCTGTGAGTTCAAGTCCAGCCTGGTCTACACGACGAGTTTCAGGACAGCCAGAGAAACTTGGTCTCAAAAGAAACCAAACCAAACCAAACCAAAAACCAAACTAAAACCAAACCAAACAAAAGTATTAATGTTCCATGAGTCACTTTCCATGTAAACCACATAAGCTCTGGAAGAGGTGATGGAGCCACATTTACTGAGTTCATTGAGCACATGCTATGTGTGTGCCAGGGGCATCCCTGTTCCATCCTTTCATGCTCGCAAAATCTACAATTATTTCCCATGATCAGTAATTCACACAAGTTCACAGAGCCAGACAGACTGATGCAAAAAAAAAAAAAAAAAAAAAAAAAAAAAAGGAGCTAGATAGATAGGTTCCATCCTGTGAGTCAACTGTCACACATGTTATGCAGTTATAAATAGCCAAGACTCTACTAGGATGAGCCTAGGGGACAATATTCATCATGGAGAGCTTCTAAGAAGTCCAATGTTTAAGGCTCTATCTCCTTTTGGGATACATCAACCCAACAACTCAGAAACTCTCTAACAGTCCATTGAATAAATCTCAGAAAAACAACTAGAATTACCAGCCCGTTATCAGCCTTGGCTGACAAGCAGGGTTACTCACATTTCCATGTGGTCCCCAGATGCGCAGGCCTTAGGGGAGACAACTCCAAGTTATGTAAACTATGTGTCTGTCACTTTGGTTTTCAGATTGGCCAGCAAGGTTTCAGACACGTATTAGGTGTGTTCTGGTCACTGATGTTTGCCGGTTTTCAACAGGATCTGGCTATTTGTACCCATCCTATTCCCCATTGCATCACACTACCTAACCATGAGGCTAAGGATTTGATGCTGCAATAAATTAACACCTTTTACACAGAAAACAATTGCAGCGAAGGTGGATCCTTAATAGGGAGAGGCATAAAGCATTCCAGGTGGGGTATGGGGTTATCTAATTGGTAGGAAAAGTCATCATAGACCCACAAAACATCAAGATAAAAGGGGCAGGTCTCTGAGTTGGAAGCCAGCCAGGTCTACAGATCTAGTTCCAGGACAGCCAAGGGTACACAAAGACACCCCCCCACCATCTCAAAATAAAACAAAAGATAAAAGGATTCACAGCACAAGTGGACATCAGCATTGGCACTCTTGGACACTAGTTAACAATATCTTCCAACCTCTGAAGATCCCCTGATCGTAGCAACCAGGTCAGACTGAGGAGGTATTATCCCAGGTGGAAAAATAGAACTATGCAATACACCCCTGTTAACCTAGGGAACTAAGAGGCTGGAGGGAGAATCTCCAGGTGCTCAGAATACTGCAGTCTGTCTTCAGAGCCCCAGATCTTAACCCCTTCTTGGTCTCCTGACCTCACAACAGTGAATGGCTTCTGATGCACCTAATGCACACCTCTGTGGCTTCTGGGAGCTAAGTGCTCTCGGCACTTTCTTTGACACACACACACACCCAACCGCCCAGTACACCAGGGACATGGGGAGCCTAAGGAAGGGTGTGTGTGTGTGTGTGTGTGTGTGTGTGTGTGTGTGCAGGGGTCATTTGTTCCAGCACCCCAGCAGTAACTATGTGAGTTCTAGGCAAACGGGTGCCAACACCCAACAAAGATTTCCTACATAGAGACTTGCCCTGCTAGCTCATTCACCGGCTCCATTGGAATTTCAGGCAATCCCCACCTCAAATTCAAAAGCAAGCTGGGTGTCTCTTCCTTCCACGCTGGAAAACTTCAGGACTAGCTCAGGTTTGGCTCAGGAAAGAAAAAAGCTGAGCAAATCTTCCCTACCTAAGGCAGCCTACCTCCAGGTGCTTACATTTAGCAATCCTAGCTCAAGAGCCCAGCACGCTCTTGAGCATTCTATAGGTGGGGGGGGGGTAAGACCCTCCCCTCCCACTCTTCCTTCTCCGGAAGATTCTTGGCTCCTTGGAGTCCAAAGTCTCTTGGTTTTGGAGTTGTGGCTTACCCCTCTAGCCTAGTTATCACATGGATAGTCAAATGAGATTAATCACTTTGCACAGACAGACAGAAGCCCTACTTTCCTTACTCCTGGTGGAGGTGGGAGCTGTCTGGGTTTCTCACCATGCTTATCCTGGTTGGAGAGGGTTCCTTCACTAGAGGAGAGAGTGCTGCGACAGTCTGGACACTTCTAAGTCCCCCTCCACAATTTTGAGTCTGGTATATGACCCTACTTAGAGGTCTTCTCCAATTACAGATGGGAGACGCCAAGAAATGTAACTGGTGCAGGGAAAGGGAAAGCAATAGCTTTATCCCTTTGGAATGGGGGTGGGCCTAGTCAGCCATCACTCCCGTGAGTATTTGATAGGGTACTTGGGATCTTCCCTTTTCCCTTATTGGTACTGTTTAGATGTCCCCATCCCGTGCAGGCACACACCACACCACCCCCACCTTCCTACCATTTCTCCTCACAACACCTTCCAGGAACAGGAAACAGTCATCTCAGAGCCTGCTTTGCAGAGGGGGATCCTGCTCTTTAAATACGTTCAGCTTGATGTTGAAGGAGGCCGAGGCCTGTGTGGTTTATTCTTAGAGACACCTGGGAGCAGGAGCCATGTTCCCGGCAGCTGTTTGGAGTTATGCTCTAACACACAAAGGTCATAAGATAGTCTAATTTTAACTCAAAGTACCAAGTAGCAACTACAGCAGGTCTGGTATGGCTCACAGCAACTTGTCACTGTGACAGCCTGCTTGCTCATACCAAGGTGGGAGAGTGGGCACCTTCTCAGCTCTGCCTAGCAACCTTTCCATCACTCCCTCAATCCTCAACGATGTAATCCAAGCAAAAGAGCTCTGCAATCTTTCCGTCATGAAAACAACAATACAACAACATAATATAATGAGCCTTAGTTGGTACCACATTTTACACACACACACACACAAAGGAAGGAAAGGAAGTAGATCACAGCTCCATATGCACAACCCGGAGGTTAAGAACTTAGAGGAGGATCAGAAAGCTTTTTATGACTTCAAGTTAGGCAAAGCTTTTTAGTTTTTAGACAGCACAAAAGCACTGTCCGTGAAAGCAAAGCCCAACCTTCCTTCTTCGCTGGGTTGTGGGCCAGCTCTTAGGAGGTGACATCCAACAGGCCTGGAATTCATGCAGATTCCAGGAAGGTGAGAGTTTGGGATGTTAGGCACTCAGCTACTCAGACACTGCTGCCCCTGCACGTGCACTCACCTCCGCCATACATCTGGCACAGGTAGGGGAAGCGCCACACATTGCCGAGGCCCACAGCATAGGAGATGCAGGTAAGCAAGAACTGCAGGGGGTTGTCCCAGTTTGGTCGCACCTTCTCCACAACCCCAGGCTGGGCATACTCTCTCGGGCCCAGTCTTCCTGGGTGCTGGTCAGGGCATTCAGGGCTGCCCTTGGGCTGCAGCCCCTCATCCTCTGGCAGGGAGACCACATGTGCCGAGGGTGATTCCATCTTCTGAGACAACCCTCAGGGTAGAATGGGCCCACTCCTGTGCTCTATTCTAGGTTCCAGGCCCGTGTGTTTCCTGCCATTCAGCCTTCTTCCCTGTCAGGCCCTGGTGTGAGTCTTCCCTGGTCGGCAGGTGCCTCCCCCGGCCTCAACCTCAGGGGTGGCCAGTTCACACACTCCCATTGACCTTTGACCAAATTCCTTTCTCTGTGTCATGCCTCTCAAACTCCAGGATTTCTGGGCTCCTCAGACTACAACTATTAAGGGTTACTGCAAAATATCTCATGAAGATCCGATTGTGTCTGCCGTATCAAAACATCTCACGAAGATACGATTGTGTCTGCTGATGGTGAACTGGAAACTGCAGAAAAACTCTGATCTATGTGCTTGTCGATTTCTATAGTATAAACGCTCCCACGTCGGCACATCCTGAGCTACCAATAAGTGCAACGGGACACTATTATTTGGGGTTCCCTCCCACTTTGCACGTCCAATGACACAGGTAGCCTCAGGAGCACAACTGACAAGCAATCATAAATCGTGAGTTTTGAGCGTTGTGTCTGATTTAAAATTTACACATCACTCAGACCTCGGTCATAACTGTATTTAAAGATCATCTCAACATAGGGGATGAAACTCAGTTCTCTGGGGTGTCCAGATTCCCAGTGCAGGCAACTCAGTCAGGCTTAGCCCCACCAGAGTATACCCAGAATGCAATTCTGGCTAATGGATGACTGCCTGTGGGCAGGAACTTCACTGTGCCTATCAGAAACACGATCAAGCCATGTCCCCAGAATTCTGGAGGAAGGAGAGAAAGCAGGGATAGCTCTACGCAGGGTTCTATAGTCTTACCCTGCAAACTAAGGTTATACAATGTTCAATCATTTGCTCATCCTGGTGAGGCCACTGCTAATTAATCATAAGAGTTTCTAGTTTCCCTGTAGGAGAGAGTCCAAACTCCTTAGCACTGTTGGCAAGACCTTGAAAGATTTTTTTTGTTTGTTTGTTTGCTTTTTGGGTTTTTTTTTTTTTTGGGTGGTGTTGCAATTCTTTTCCTTTAAAATAAGAAAGATTTGTTTTTATGTGTATATTTTACATATACATGTGTATATATATATATATATATACATAATACATATACATACATACATACATACATACATACTTGGAACTGGGGTTCTGGATGGCTGTGAGCCACCATCTGGGTGCTGTAGACAGGACCCAGGTTCTCTGCAAGAACAGCCAGAGATTATAGCTGTTGAGCCATTGCTCCAGCCTCCCCTTTTGAGATGGGGTTTAGCTAGGTTGATTGTTTAGGTCGGGTCTTTAGTCTCCCTGCTTCAGCCTCTCAAGTTGGTAGGTGACAGGTGCATCCCACCCTCCTGATTCATGTAGCCGAATTATGACTACATTGTTTGAGATTTGATTTGGGGGAATTTCAGTGTGCTGATAAGAATGTATATTCTACAGCTGTTATATGAGTAAGCTTTTAAACATTATAATTGATCTTTTATCATTCTACAGTGATCTTCCTTTCTCTTTTTACAGTAACAAATCAAAGTAAATCTATGTCCCCATGGAGAAACTGGCATTTGACTGTATGTGGAGAGCTCCTTGGCTGACCTGTTCAGCTTAGGGTCTTCTGTCTCTACAATGTGTGAAAGGGAAATGAATTCTGTAGAAGCTATAGTTTGAGACCCAACATTTTGTGGGCACGCAATCTGAAGCAGGGTATTCTGTGGAGATGTTGGGAACCCCGATGATCACATGGCCTCTGGGATGATCATTTGACAGCTCTGAGTGTGATGGATAGGAAGGTAGGTGTAACAAATGCATTTTTAATTCAGGGTGCTCTTCAATCTAAAGTGGGTTTAGCGGGGTGTAACCACAATGTGGTTGGAAGAGTATCCTAACACAATCCAAGAATAGAATCCTGTGAGAATTCTGAGTGCTGGGGCTGGAGAGATGGCTCAGTGGTTAAGAGCACTGGCTGCTCTTCCAGAGGACTGGGGTTCAATTTCCAGCACCCACAAGGCAGCTTACAACTGTCTGTGATTCCAGCTCCAGGGGACCTGACACCCATGTCAAAACACCAACACACATAAAATTTAAAGAAAAAAAAATGGAAAAAGGAAGAAACGTTCTCAAGAAAGAAAAACAATTCTGAGTAACTGTGAGAAAACTCCAAAGAAAACAAGAGTCTTTTGACCTCAGTTTCTCCAAAACACCGAATTTTTCTTGGAGGATTGTTCTTCCCCACCCCTCCCAGGTGTATCATATAGGAGTGAGTTTGCTTCAGATTATTCATTCCAACTGGCTATTATTACTTATTTATACACCTCTGTAGAAAGTCATGGGTTTTTTTTTTTCCTATATGCAGCCTGTCATTGTGATTATACTCAGCTTGAACTCATGAGAGCTTTACTCACGTGATCTTTCTTAACGCTCAAAGTGTAAGCCTGATGTTCTTAATAAAGTTGGCTGTTGTGTGAGACTTTATTCCCCCTTTTTAGGCTCCATTCTCCCAAGTTCCATTACCTTTAGAGCGGTAAACAGAGGCACATCTGTATTTCATGATAGCATTACTTCACCTGTCTGATTTCCATTAGCACAACTGTTCTGTTGATGAGACTCCCCCTCATAACTAGAGATGCTCAATTTGTACAGGTTGTTCTGGATGTAAGTAGTCTAAACACACTGCATACTTTCCCCCCTCCTTCAATAGGCTCTGCCCAGGCTCTCAGATTTGATTGCGCATTGGATTCACCCAAGAGCACCAGGCTCACTCCCAAGATTTTCTGACAAAGGCCCCTTGAATCCAGTAGCATGGACGCTGCAAATTTTCAATGCTCCCAGGTGTCTGGAATGGCAGAGGTGATGGGCACACTGAAAAAGAATAGAATAATGATACAGGACAATGTTCCTCTTTTCACCTTTGAGGGTACATGATTTTTGAGACCCTGTCTGTGACTGACCCTAGGAAGGAAGGCATGACAAGTGCAGAAAGGCAGTCACTATGCCTAGGTTGAGAGCAGGGGACAGACACTTAAGAGTTCAGGAATAGACTCTGTTGTATTATCACGGGGTGCACCCACTGTTCGAGTGAGCCTAAAATCCTTCTGATGAGAAAACCAGGAGTAAACACTTAGGAAAATAAATGCTGCTTCTTATATTGTTAAGGACATTGATCATTTTGAAATCAGGTATAAAGGAAAGATGGAAGTTTTGATAAGAAGGCAGCTAAGATAGTGAACAATTTGTCTTGTGAGTCGTAGTCCTGTGTTAAAGACTCAACTGTTGGAAAGACATCATCACTATCTACCTTTTTAATATGTATATTATTTTAACTTATGTGTATGTGTTTTGTGTAAGCGTGTGCATGTTCATTCTGGTGAAAACAAGGACAGAAAAGGATGTTGTGTCCTCTGGAACTTGGATTATCAGACACTGTAGGCTTTCCAACGTGGATTCTGGGACCTTTATTTTGTTTCTCTGCAAATGTAGCAAGCGTTTAGCCAGAGAATTTTCTCTTTACCACCACCACCTGCCACACCAAAGGCCTTTCCAGTGCCTACTTTTGCCATTGGGAAAAAGAGAGAAATAAAAGCCATCTCTGGTCGATGTTCCAAGTGATGTCTAAGTGTCTTCAGAGGTGTCTGCACAGATGGATCCAAAGAAGTCCTTCAATTCCATGAGCTTGGCAGAGCAAAGATTGTTAGTACAGGAAGGACTCACAGTCTGGATAACCTTGATCCACTTTATTATGATAAAAAGAAAAAAGAAAAGAAAACAGACAAATTCACATAATGGATGAATAACAGCCATAAATATGGAGTGTTTTCTCCTCCACTGCTGGTGGGAGTGCAAACTCATACAGCCATTTTGGAGATCAGTATGGCGGTTCCTCAGGAAAATGGGAATTAGCTTACCACAGGACCCGGCAATCCCCCTCTTAGGCATATACCCAAAGGATTCACATCCATGCAACAAAGACATCTGTTCAACTATGTTCATAGCAGCACTATTTGTAATAGCAAGAACCTGGAAGCAACCTAGATGCCCCTCAATTGAAGAATGGTTAATGAAGATGTAGCACATCTACACAATGGAATACTACTCTGCAGAAAAAAATAATGGTATCTTGAAATTCGCAGGCAAGTGGATGGCACTTGAAGAAACCATCCTGAATGAGGTAACCCAGTCACAAAAAGAGGAACACAGTATGTACTCACTCATATATGGATTTTAGACCTAGATCAAAGGATCACCAGCCTATAATGCACATCACCAGAGGAACTAGGATACAAGGTGTATTCTAAGAGATTCATATAAAGTCCCTCACAGAACTGGGAAGGGACAAGTCCTCCAGAGCACAGGGAAAGTGGGGGGGCAGCAAATGGAGAGAGAAGTAGGAGAAAATGAGGGGGAGGAAAGGAAAACATGTGCAACCAGGAAGATTGAGCCTAGTTAGGAATAGAAGATAGGAGAGAGAGAGAGAGAAAGAGAGAGAGAGAGAGAGAGAGAGAGAGAGAGAGAGAACATAAAAGAGGGAGCCAATATTGGTTTGAAGATAAAATTGAACACAAAGAATGGTCTAGAGAACTACAAGACTGCTCCCAACTAACAATTTGAGCTTCCGTGGAAAGGCTATCTTAAATGCCCTTCCCGGAGAGTGAGATCAACAACTAACTTCTCCATGGAGCCCTCAACTAATGCCTGTTGAAAACAGGATCAAACACCCATACATAAACACTGAGTCAAAGTAGAACTCAGATGCAGATGGAGAGGACAAGACCATGCGGCAGAAACTCATACAGACAGCTTACCTGAACAAGGAGGAGCTAACGGTCACTAGACTGATAGCTGGGAAGCCAGCATGGGACTGACTCAGGCCCCCCTGAATATGGGTCTCAGCCAGAAGGACTGAGCAGTCTAAGGGACCTCAGACAGTGGAGCCAGGATGTATCCCTAGTGCACAAAAGGACTTTGCGAACACATCCCCCATGGAGGGATAACTGCCTTACCCTAGAGAC